CCATTGCCTGTGAAGTCTGGAGGTGCACATAAAACTCAGCTCTTGCCCATGACCTGCTGCTTAATGAGGGGTTTGTTAGGTGGCACCTTCTGTTCTGTCGAGCTTCAGAATACACTGCAAGCAGCGAAGCTTGCTGGCAGGCAGCCGGGCCAGGCACACGCAGTTGCTTCCGCCGTCAGGTGTCAGGCTGCGCAACCTTCCGCTAAGCCATCAGCACTGGAAGTCACCCCACACTCATCACGGAAGAAGGAATGTTTCTAGCCCCATTTACAGGTTTAATGGGATGCAGAAGGAAATACCACACCTCTCTTTAAGCTGTGCATGCTCAGAGACACACCTCGAGGCCTCCTCCTTCCATGTCATTTCTTACTCTTCTCATTCACATGCGTTAGAGGGAAGGCTAAGAAAAGATGCTGTAGTCAATAACAGAGTCATGCTGCAATGCTGAAAAATGTAACCTAACTGGGGTAGTAGATATAAAACTGTGCAGAAAGGGAGCCAAAATTTCTTGAATATTTTTATAATCATTTAGGTCTCTGAAATGAATATGCTCTGAAATATTGTTCTTTTGGCAAGATGAGTTATTGACGTGTTGCGGCCAAAGACGTTTTCCTATTCCTGTGGAAGAACCAACTTAACTTAAAAAGGCACTCCCTCCTTGCTTGAAAAGATCTTTTTTTTAGTACAAAATGGTTCGATTTTCCCATAAAATAATCCAGTGTGTATATAGAAAATAGCCTTTGGCTAATTGTGCATAAGATGGTGAAAGCTGGCTTTCTGTTCATTCAAAACCATTTACGCCTGAGTATAGCTGTTATCAGTACTGGAACCTAAAGAGTCACTCTGGTAGCAACACCAGTGATGAACACATGGATTCAGCATATGTTTGCCAACCGCCTTGAAACAGTGTACTCTGACACAGCAGGTCACCCTGAAAAGTGCAGGGCATTGGTTAGACCAGATATAAATATGTAAGGTTTCCACACTATTTTTCAGACACATCCCTTACCAGGAACTTCCGCTGGCATCCCTGGCACCCAGTGTCACCCTCTCTGTTTGCCAAGAGCAAAGCTGGGGCCCAAGCAAACCCAGGCCCCCCAGGATGCTGCAGGCAGGGTCTTGGCTGAAGGACTACTACTAGTGATGGCCAAGTCACTTTGGAGAAGCTGATGGCCCAGCACAGTGGCAGAGCTGCTATTGCCCCTAGTAGTCCTTGTGCCGCCGCATGTAGCTACTAGTGATGGTCCCCAACAAAAAGCATTTTCTTGTGTGGCTGCGAACCCCTTCTGAAAAGCCCTGGCTGTGAAGGCAGGAAGGAATCCTGTTGTAAAGACGCTCAAGGGAGAACCATGTTCCTTCTTAGTTACACAGAGAAGATATGTCGTCGAAGATACGTCTCCTCCGATATCCCTTTGCATTGGTGCCGGAGGGAAGCCCAGCCATCCTTGGGGATGTGCTGGCACAAGCTGTGACTAGCAAGGGCCTGGAGACTGGCTAGGATTGCAAAGGGAGAGGAAACACTCTGCAAGAAAGGGAAGGGCAGCTGGGACTGGTAATGGGGACTTGGTAATTTCCAAGTCTGTTTGGAACAACTCAGTGACTGGAAGGGATCTTCACGCCGCTGGTGGATAAAGCTCTTGAAGCTTTGTCTGCAATGACCGTGTTATACAGAACTAGGCCTGTTCACAGTTAGCTCTGCAAAGAGCTTACATAGGTCAGTACTGTACACAGCAGTTCCTTCCCTCCTGCAGTTTAGATGGGTGAGAGAATAAATGACAAAGGGAAAAGATCTATGCCGAGAGTTTAGACACCAGTCTTGAAGGTTTCCTCTTTGTGCAAATTGTTTTTTTCTTTTTTCTTTTAAAGGGGAAGGGAGAGGAGAAATGTTGCTTTTGGCTTACTGTATGTAAGTCAGAGTTAAAGAGGAAGGATATCAGTCTTTGATATCAGTACTGCAGGCCTCCTCCCTGCCCAGTAACACCGTCTGGCTACCGCAGGCTGGAGAGCACGCTCCTTTTTACACCACCAGCATCCCAGAAAAGCTTCGGGTTGCTTTCTGGCTCCAGGACGTTTCAATTCAAAAGGAAGTTTAACTGACACCCTCTCCTCTCTCATGCTCCGCACACACATCTCCAAGTTTCTCCCTGTCTTCGTCTCTCATTTTTATCTGTAACTGTTCTTCAGCTGTGCTGAGCTATGGCATGTGCTTTATACAGGAGGCACTATCAGCATCAGGAGGGATTTAAACATTTTAAATTTCATCATTTAGTTGATTTTTTGTGTTGGAAAAACCATGGCTGGCGTTATAACCTGCAAGGGGGGCATCATCCACTGTGCACAGACTCTAACAAGGTCCCTACTTGAGACCATATTTATGGCTGACCGTGACACTGCTATTGCATGATGGCTTCCATGGGGACTGAATACATATGGACGTTGTCTCTTCCACATTTCACGCTGGAGCATCCACACCTCTCCTCCACAGATCTGTCAGTCTCCCCCCAAACAAATCCACCTGCTTCCAAATACTGGTCAGGCTAACACACCTGTGCCAGCCCTCTGGTCATCAAGTACAGGCTTCTGACTCAGACAAGGGCTGTGAGATAGCAGGTCAGCAAAGGCTTGTGGTGCAGCTCCTGGCACGCTGGCCGTGGGCTGGGCATGGGGCTGGAGCTGCAGCAGCTCCTTGGCCCACTTCCTCCCCTGGTGAGTCACCATGCCCCAGTATCAGTCAGCAGGGCGCTATTTCTGGTGGACAGCCTGCAGCAGTACTAGCGCACCCATCGTATAGTGGATAATGAGCTGCTCTAAGGTCCGGCTGGATTTCTCAGGTGGTGCTGAGTCCTGAGTCTGGCCAGCAGGCAGAGTTTGTGAAGGACGAATTTTCACATTGCTGTAGATGATGGTGGTTTCAAAAACGGACCTTGCTGGGCCAATTTTGTAAGGAAAAGAAATGGGTGCTATGGCTCCAAGTAGCACTTTGGTGTTCATTTACAGAGAACATGCAAAGTCTTACTTCCTTGAGCACAGGAAGCAGATGAGCCACAGGAAGTAAAGTCCTTGCTCATAGCTTCTGGGCCTGCCTTAGAAGCAGCTAGTACGGATGCAAGGGAAGTTGTGTCCAGTCAGACATACCTCCTCAGTTTCAGTCATGCACAGAGCCATGTAGCCTCTCAGCTGATGCCTCGGTCCTTTCAAATCAGTCCTTTGCTTTCCCTGAGTTAGGTCTTCCCAACTACTACTATGAGTTTCTTTTACACGTGCAACTGTCCTTTGTCCATTAGCATACTTGCCTCTGTCATTTAGCCAGAAGAGCAACCTGCCAATTTCCCCAAGAACAAAATGAAAGGGGGTAGTACACAGCCTTCCCATCCCCTCCAGCACTGCATGCGAGGAGCACTTGGCTAACTTCTCTGTACTTCTGCCGTTAATTTTTCTCAGACCTCCATACTGGTTAAGAGGCGAGCTCATCTAACCCCCAAACAGGAGAACCCTTATTTCAGCTTCTTTAAGTTGCTCCTCTAGGTCTTTCAGTATTTGCCCACTGACATTTTTGTAGGAGTAGAAAACAAGGTCCTGATTTTAGCAGCAGTTAAGACACTAGATTACTACAGGAAACATGGAAAAAAAGGCAGGGGGCTAGAGAGGAGGGACAAAGAAGCAATGGCTACAAGAAACAGGGAGCAAAGGGGCTTTGACTTCTTTCCCTCCCCCACATGTGTCAAAGGCATGACTTAAAACCAATCTTCCTTCATTAAGAGAGTGGAGGAGCTCAGCATGTCTTAAAACAATCCCTCCTGACCTGCTCCAACAGCAGCTTGCAGCAAGACCCTCTGTGGAGAACAGTGTTAGTGGTCCAGGTCTTAGGCAACTTGTCTGAACTGCAGACAAGACCTATTCAGCCCAGGAAGAGGTAACACACTGCTGTCCAGACCTTTTTCATCCATAACCGAAACTAAGAGCAGTGGGTTTCTCTGCCCACTTAGATTTTCTCTACAGTTAGCAACTTTCTCAGTATTTCCCTAAGAGAAAACAAAATTACACACCCAAAGAAATTAACACAAAGAGAGACCAACCATTGCAAAATCCCAGAGCTAAGTGCAGGCCAGCCCTGATGCTGGGGCTTGCGGTGGCAGAGTTTTACTACCATCCCCTTTCATTCCCTTCCCCTCATTCCCCCAGCCTCAGTTGCTTCGTTTGCACAGCTGCTCCAGAAACAACCTTCCCCTTCGCAGGCTATTTTTAACCCAGTTTCCTGACCTTGTTCCCCACACAGCCACACAAATAGGTGTGCCAACACAACATAGACAGGGAGTGTGGGATATGCTCGAGCCAATATTGCTCCAGATTAAAATTAAATATGTTAATTTTATAGCAGGAAAACTAGGGAACAGAGATTTTTAAACCACCACCATCCAAAGTTATTGGAAAAGCTGCTTCCTACTGATCCCATGAATCTCATTAAAGGCCAAAAACCAGCAGTAAAAAGAACAGGAAATCAAACCCAGGTCTCTGAAGGCAAAGGTGAGTATCCAAACCATTATGGCATCTCTCCTTTAAATAATCTACACTGAAAGTCTGATCCCTGAATATCTGGATCACTACAGCCAGTATAAACTGGAAGAGGGCAGGCCTATATTGCACTCCTCAAAACAGCCAGTCTTCTAGAGATTTTGTACTAAGTACTGGAACACGAGATTACTCCCAGGACTTTTTGTAGCAACCAACATCAAGACTGAAGTACTGCATGTTACACCCAACCACTGTCCACCATTCAGGCAGCCCACAAATTCTGTCGTGGTCTGATAATGAGATTTTGCTAAAAACGCTCATTGTCTATGACCTGAGTCCGAAGGTTTGTCAACGTTGACCTTTGCCCAGCTCCCCAAGGTGTGGATGACGCATGTGACGTACCTGCGCCATGACAGGGGAGGTTGGCACAAATACTATCACAGGCCCACAGTGTTTTCAAAGATTAAAGGACAGACTAACGATGTACGAAGGCACTGAGCTAGATTTATTCATTTGACATTTGATAAGTATCAAACTGGAAATCATCTGCTTAAGATCATTTGTTAGACAGGAGCAGTATTAAATAACAGATACATGAAAAAGAGACCGTGCTTCAGAAAAGATTCAGTGTACAACATACATAGTATGCCACTTTAACACAAATGCTTAAAAAGAGTCATCCTAAGCATCAAAGGGAGTTTTATAAAAGTTTACGTTCTCATCCCATGGGATGTACAGAACTATGCAATTTACATAGTTTTACTATCATCCAAAACATAATGTTTCAAATGTATGAGGCACAGCAAGAACAATGTAATTCCATTTCCATAGGAACATAAACACAGCTTGTCACTAATGACGCGCTTTCCATACCATAGCATTCAAGGCAATTATATAAGTGTACAGTGTCAAAGCATTAAAAAGCAAAAGTCTGGAGTGTGCCCACTGTTACCAATAGGAAATAACATTTGCCTTTGAACACTACCCAAATTATCCTTGCAGTAGCTGTAACATCAAGCGCAGCTGGAGTCACTGCCCTGCTTTGCAAGGGCTGGCTTGCTGTGCTTCTCCCAAAGCCAAAAAAAAAAAAAAGCCAGTGAAGGATTCCCTCTGCCCAGGTAGAAGAGGGCAGAGTACCCAACTTAGCCCTGACAGCCCAGGGAAGGTGCAAAGCTAAAACATATCTCTAATCAAGTGACATTTGGCTCTGGACGTCTCTGGCTCTAGAGTCAGCTGAAGCAAGTTAGCTCGGCCAAAGGGAGGCCTTGATTTGCACCGAGAATGACCACAGACTGAGTTAGGTCAAAGACTTTTTTAAGTCTTTCACTAAGGATAGCTCAGATGGACCAGATCTTACAGCCCACATGCTCAACTTTTTGATGGCAATAGTTGCAAGCATATTTTATAAGTCTTACAAAAGTGCAGGCCCAGCACAGGAAGATTCCCCAGAGTAAGACATTCCCAGCAGCCTTCTTTCTGCCTTCTTCTTGTTGATCCCAGCAGACACACAGACATCATCACTTGGAATCAGCTTATTGGAGCCCCTAAGGGTTTAGCTTAATCACCTGTGCAATTAAACACCATTCACATTTGACAGCCTACAGTCGCAATATTTTTATGTACAGATTTGAAAATCAAGTTTTAAAAACCAGTTTTAAGAGGTAGAGGTCCATTTCCGACCTGCAGACATAAACCATTACCGAGTCAGTCTTATTCTAATGCTGGAGGTCCCCTAACAATATTGAAGTAACCAGCTAGAGCTCCAAGATCTATGTAGAGCGATCTTTGCCTCCTTAGCAGGTCCGACTCATCCGTGCTCCCTGTACACAACGAGGAATCTAAAAAGAAAAGCAATGAAACATGTAATTGTTGCACAAATAGCTACATTAGTTCAGTTTAATAACTGCAGACGTTTGGGGAATAATTGGCTTAACATTCGCTTTTATTTATCTGTGTTTTGGAAAGCTTCATTTTTAAGGAAAATATAATATAAACGTCTTATCTAAAACATAAGATACCACGTCAAGTCATAACTCCAGGCAAGCAGAAACCAGCTACAGCTTGCTACTGAAAACAGCAAAGACTGTACAGTATTTTAAAATATCCCCCATCATCTGGGACAGTTGGACAGAGCTTCCTCATCCACTGAGCCACAGTGCCAAAGGAGAGTTTGGTACAAGAAAAAATAAAGGAAAAAAAAGAACCCCACCACCCTCTGCAAGCTCTCTGCTAGTTGAGAATTCCCCTTCATTACAGGGGAATTTTCATCTAGACAAATTACATCCTCTTTGTATCGCTGGATGCGACAATACAGAACAAATCTGACACTGTCAGTCTCAGTTGTTTTTTTTTTTTTTAAGCGATTGTATGCATTGTCAGAGCTCTGAAGAAACCTTTGCAGCTGCAAAACTCCCCTGAATACTTGTATAATGAGCATGCTGGAATCTCAAGCACCTAAATTAGAGTTCCAGCTTAATGGCCAAATATTCTTTCATCTTCAAAAGAATTGATTCAGATAACCTGTGCTGGTCAAAGGATTGTACACCCAATAAGGCAAAAGCCAGAAGAGCAATGCCATTATAGGTGAGAATGTTTTGAGTAGTTTAAATGCTAAATGGTTTCACTGCAACTGCAACGACAACTATGCATTAGCGCACCAAGAACTTTGCACAGTTATCTTTTCAAATAATTGTCACAATCAAATAAACCACTTGTCTGTGATCTGTTTTTAAACGCCTTTTGCCAGGACCCTCCCAACAAATTCTGCAAGTAGGAGAAAAGGATTTTGAAGCTTGTTAGCTGTTTGCTGCCACGAAATTTCCCTTGGGCTTGATATTATCCAAGGACACATTGAGTTTTTGTTAGCTTATTAATGCACAAGGGAACTGTGTTCTATCCTACAGTGAATTTAAAGACAACTGGCTTGTATTTTACTGCTGACACTCAGAATCATTACAGTTATGGTTTTTGTTTGTTTCTTTTTAGGGAGGTAAAAAGTGTTGGTTTTGTGCTGGTGGCAGGGGTTGCTGGGGCTTTTGTTTTCGTTAAAAACCCAACCACTGTTAATAATAAAACAGCATTAATACTGAGAAGAATTAACGTAATTTTCTGACAGAAACTTACACTTCATAAAGAACTGTCCTGAATAACTGCCAGGGTTTTTTCATGAGCCAGTCCTTCTGTAGCTGCAGAATTCAGGCTAAGTTCTTGTCCTATTGAAGTCAATGGGCGTTTTATTTAACACTTAATGAGCTCTGGGTCTGATCTCATCAGACTGAGATTTTTATTGCTCTCTTTCCAGCAGCTTTTTGAGTTTAGTTTGTTTCTAAAAACTTAGCCAAATCAAATTCTGACATAAAGTAAAATTTAAAAAGTGCAAGGCAAGTAAGGCTGATACCATTACCTGTAATATTTTCTGGCAACTGCAGCTCCTTCCTTGTGAGCAGTCTTTTTCTTTCAAACAATGCTGAGTCCAGACTCTGGCACCGTGGCTGCTCCTCTGGCGGGGGGTGCAAGGCTTCATGTTTCAGCAGGTCTGCTGCAGATAGTCTGTGATTAGGGTTCCTCTCTAGCGCTGCTTCTAGCAGCTCCCTCATGGAAGTACTGCAGTCTTCAGCAATGTCCTCTAAGGGGGGAGCTTGTTTGTGTATCTGTTGGAATAAAAAGGAACATCGAAACTACTGTTCCAAAAGCAACAGGACAGGAGGTCACGGACAACCACATTAGTGGTCTGGAAATTCCCCACTTACAACTCATCACCTCTCTAAGCAGGGCTGATCAATTACAACATAACACATAACTGGGCAAAATCCACCTTTTTTTTTTTATCAGATTTTATCATAAATTTAAAAACTTGGAGCAACTCAAGCAAGTCCAAGACCTGCTGCAATGTAAATTCACCAAATTTCTACACCACTCTGGATAAAGCAGAGATTCAAATTTGCTTGGCTCCAGTTTTTAATCTGTAACTTCTAAGCAAACAGAAGAGCACAGCACAGATGAGCTTGTTAAAATCAAATTTCACACTGTTCTAACCCTGTCCCTGAAGAAAACCGAGGCCTGTAAATTGCAACACAAACCACAGAGATGACTCCAGCTTGGCCTCTGTCTTCCCCTAAATGGTCAAAACCCACTTCTTCCCTCCTTCCCCCAAAGCAAAAAAGATGATATCATCTCTCTGACACATATTTTGATAGTCTTTTATAAGACAGGAGCTTTCCCAGCAGGAGGACAGGAAACTCTTCAACTGAAACTGAGCTCTAGCTTTCTAAGGACACTTACAATATAAAGGTAGGAGGGATATGCAGAGCGAGGGTATCTGTTCACCCAGGGTGGGATGCCAGTTTGCATATGAATAATAGTAGCTCCCATGCTGTAGATGTCAGCTTTTGTTGTATGGCCTCTGCAGAGGATGACTTCAGGACTCATGTAAATCTGGGAAGAACAGTGGAAAAAGATGAATTAGTAGGGGGAAACAGCAAGCAAAGACCAATCATTACATTCTGTGAGCTGAGAATCCCCCACCTGAAGGGGCAAATCCCATCAGTATCTGCAACCTGAGGACCAAGCACCAGCTGAGGAACTGAAGTTTTGCTCTGCGCATTATCAAATTCTCAGAGGTCTTCTGGTCTGGCACCAGAATAAATTCATTCTCTAGGTTTGCCCCACAGCTCAGTGGCTGAGACCTCCCTGAGCTGTGAGAGGCTGAAGTTCAAGCCACTGTTTGCTTTGTTCAGCTCAGCAGCAGGAGCCTCACAGCCCTCCACAGCACAGGGAGTTGCCTGAATTGCCAGTTTATTTTGTGATGGGGCCCTGCTGGCACTGCTCCGTTCTGCACGAAGGAAATGGACACTCATTAGGCCAAAGGGAGAGAAGATGACTCCACTGCTAGTCACCCAGTTAGGGTGTAGGAATCCACAGCTCAAATACCTGTTACACTGACAATTATACTGTTCTTACAGAAGAACTGACAGATACACTCCTTTCTGTTTCCCTTACTCTCTCCCTCTCCCCCTGCTATCCAATAACCTGCACATGAGGCACTACTCCAGGAAATGGGGTAAGGAGGCACAAGCCAGGTCTAAGGCAGGACACATACTGAAACCCAGGCCTCTGAAGTCTTCCTGCGCTCCCTTTCCGCTAGGCTATCTCTAAAGTAGCTGTTAAGGCAAGCGCTCCTCTTCCACCCTTTTTTGACCAGAAACTGCATTCTTGTCTAAACCAAGATATGGTTTCCATCCAAACACTTCACCAAAAGAGTCAGATTTGTCAAAATCCAAAAGAGGTATTCAACAGGCAATTCCCTGCCAGCTCCCGGCAGCTTCGCATTTAGGCTGAAGAGAACCAGACAGACAGGATGCAGGAGGCACTCCCTGTCGCTGGCAGATACTCCATGTACAGCACTGACACAAACTCCTGGCAAAGGCAGGAGGTTTCAACATGACATTGGCACAGCCCACAAAACACTAAGTTAATAAGCTATCCTATTTGCTTCTGGTTTCTACTTTTCCCTCGCCCAATTTCCCTCTAGAGGATCCAAACAGGACTTTGATTAGATCAAGTCATCCTGCCACAAAGAATCACATTAAAAGTGACTAACTGAGACAAGGGCAGGAAGTTAACTCATCACCACATAGTTTGAGTACTCATTACTACAGATCGAGAGTGGCTGTGGGGCTCATGCAAATTCCAAGGAATATTTCCCAGTAAATCACACATCATATCTGCAGCTAGAAATTCAAATAG